AAATAAATAAATAAGAAGAAGAAGAGAATTTCACCCAACCCCAACTCCAACTCACTCATTGGTAAGTGGGGGGTCGGCCACCACTGTTAATGTTGGTTTTAAATCTATTGTTAGGCGGAAGAAATAGAGTTGGTGGGGATGTGGATGGGAAAATAGAGGTGATGGGGAGGTCGCTACCGTTGTTGTGACTATAGCTCAGGTGGTGATGGCTAAGGATGACAATAGGTAGAGCCAAGATGACTTGGCCCTTAAATGACTAGCTTGACTCGTGTCCATGAACTAGGATTAGTTGTTCGGACCTTATGGGCAAGTCGGGTTGGCTCGTTTTTTTAAAAGAACCACTCTCGAGCCCAAAACAGTTTGACTCGCGAGCTTGCTCGATTCTTAAAAAAATTGATTTTGGCTCTACTTATGACTCGTTTTAATACAAGTCCAAGCAGCTCATGAGTTGAGCCAGTAAATGAGTCGACCTACTTGCACCCTTAACAATTGCCGTGTAAAGCTCACTAGTCAAGACATAGGATGTTTGTTCCATGAATAGGTTGGGTTATGAATTTTAATTAAGGCTGGGTGGGTTTGAAAAGATGAATATTTTTTAAATTTTTTGTCTTTCATCTTCTCTTATTATTATTATTATTTTATTTCTAATTTTAATTAATTAAATACAATCTAAAAGGGATCGGTAGTATCCAAATGTACAAAAATAGATATCTAATCAATTGATGCACTTTTCCAATTAAAGGATTAATTTTCCATTTTTAAAATTAGTCAAACTAAGGTAAGATATTTGAGTTTTGATCAGATTTTTGGATGGAAACCACTAAATGTTCTTTCAATGCACATTTATTAGATATTTGGTATCGTGCTGCACGTTTTTGTAAGATTTGGGACTTCTACTATAAAATTCCTTTGTTTTAATTAATTTATAGGAAGAATTCATAAATAAGAGGCTTAATTTTACCAATTTCAAATTTAAGAAATGAAGTTTAAAATTTTAAATTTCAGAGTTTTTTTAATTTCATTTATAAATTAATTAATTAAACATATATTTTATTAGTTAAATATATTAAGGTCACAATTTCATATAATTTGGTCACAAATTTCATATAATTGGTCACAAATCACAATTTTCATATGTGATAAATTATTTTACGGACACAATTCAAAAATTTTATAGGTTACAATTTATTCATTGGTCATAAATAAAAATTTGAAATGTCACAAATTATTTTATGGTCACAATTCAAAAATTTTATATGTCACAATTTGTTCAACGGTTACAAATCAAAAATTTTATAAGTCACAAATTATTTTACGGTCACAAACAAAATTTTTATGTGTTACAAATTATTTTATGGTTACAATTCAGAAATTTTATAGGTCACAATTTATTTATCGGTCACAAATAAAAAAATTATTCTTTACAATTTATTTATGGTCACAAATCACAAATATTATAAGTCATAACTTAGTAGACAGTCAAAAATTGTTAAATTATAGGTCACAAATTAAAAAAATTTAGGTCATGCATTATTTTTTAGTCACAATTTATTTTTTTATTGATCACGTATTGTTTATTGGTCACAGATTAACCAATTTAATGGTCACAATCAACCAAATAATTTGTGATTACTGTGACCACCACCGTATCACTCCCTCTAGCAGCAGCACCACCACTTTCACCGCCAAAACCACCACCACCACCTTCCAACAACAATACAGTCACTTCAAACTAATCAACGCATCGTAGAAAAACACCACTACATTGTCACGTCATTCCACTACCATCGTGACAAACCCATCGCCGTCGCCGCCACCGACACCTCGAACCACCCTACAACCTCACCAACACCGCCCACATCACCCCTGCCAACACGACTTCCTCAAATTCATCACCACCACCTTGACCACTATCTACACTACCGTCGTCGACCACAACGTGCTGCACCCAACATCTACACCACCACCAAAACAACAGGACCTCACCACCACCCCCCATCCTACGACTTAAAAAAAAAAAAAATCCCCAACTATATCATCATCTCTGCCGCCTTCACCGACCACCATATCACCGCCCAACCACCATCATGCCAACAACCAGAACCACCGTACCACGGCAAAACACACAGAACCACCACCACGCCAACAACCAGAAAAAAACCCTCCAGATCGAAAACCACCACACCCAACCCCCACCACCGTATCCAAACCAACGCACACCTAATCAAAGAAAAAAAGGACGAACCTCCACCGCACAGATTGCAAACCTCCATTGCACAGATCGTGATGCTACCCAAACCACCGCACACGATCGGCTTTGTAACAACGGCCTTGCGAGGTCTTCGACGACGGCTGCAGGAAGAAGAGAGAGGCGATAAAGAGAAGGGAAGAAGAGAGATGCGAGAGATGAGAGAGACGACCAGAGGAGAGAGAATGAAGATGTGATATGATTTTTGATTTTTAGGGATTGGGTAATAATAATTTAGATATAGATGAATTAATATCTGATTTTTGTATAAATAAAGTTTATATCTGAAATTTGAAATTGAAAGTTTAAAAATCTAGTTTTATGTAATTTCCTCTTAATTTAATGTTAAAAGAGCATTTTTTTATTTTTTTGAATTTTTTGTCACTTCCAATTTATAGAGTACTATAAGATCGAGGACATACGTCACAACATGGTTGCAAAGGGTGTTCACTTTTTTTTTTACTCTGTAACTTTTTTAATTTGTGTTTCTTTTTAAAATTTTTGTCGTTTTTTTAGTATTTGTCACTTTTTTTTAATGTTTGTCACTTTTTTATCGATCACATACTTGATTAAAGGTGCTGTACAAATGGATGGTGCTATTTTGGCATGTCACTTTTTTTGAATTTGCGTCACTTTTTTTGAGTATGTATCACTTTTTAAGTGTTTCACTTTTTTACTTTTTTAAAAAAAGTGACCGTTTTTATAAAAAAAAGTAACATTGTGTCACTTTTTTATTTTACATAATATTTTTTACTTTCTAAAAACTTTTCATATTATTTTTTAAAACATCCCTAAATTTTAAGGATATTTTTGTAAGCATTACGTATTAGCTCGGTCTGTAATTTGATCTTGAATTCATCCCTGTTTGCAAGGTTTGGAATTCATTACTGAGTGGGCAAAACCTGTCGAGCCCACACCACCATCAGTGATACCCAGTCACTCTGCTCCTNCTGTCGAGCCCACACCACCATCAGTGATACCCAGTCACTCTGCTCCTGAGCAAAAGCCTGCTGACAGAAGGAACATGAAGCCAAAGTAATTGAAAATGTGAATACTTTGTCCCGGTGTGGCTTCGTTCAACAACAAACAATGTCCTTAATTACCCCGGGCAAGTGAACACCTTGCTTTCATAAACTTATCCTGGTTTAGTTCTTTCTATAGACAAATGCTTAAATCCTATTTGCCTGCCCCCTCACGGTCCATTAGTAGGTATGGTGTGGTAGGTGACCTAATTGTCACACGACATGTTTGAGAATCCACTTGGTGATTCTAAATTAAGCATCGAATAAACTGTTTCTTCTATATATGCATGTGTGAAAATTTGTGTGTGTTTATTTCCATGTCTAAGTGCTTTAGCATTTACTGATGTGTTTCTTGAGAATTAAATTAGGTTAAAACTACTTTGACAGAAAACTTGACATAATTGCACTTGGTAGTAGATGATTAGATGAAAAATCTGACTTGAGCAAAATATAGGCCGTTTCATGGTCACTATTTGGCAAAAATAAAATTTTGAATATTGATTTTTTGAAGAATGCGTAGTTAGAAAATAGAGAAAAGTTTTGGCTTTAAATATTGATTATTTTATTGTGTAAATGTATAGTTAAAAATGAATATATAGAAAAAAAAGTTTTTGATTGGAGGTTGTCAAACGGGGCATAATTCTCAAGTTTTTATCTACCAGTGTGCGCCATATGGATTTCTACAATTCTCGTACGACACAGGTGGGCAGTGAGCTGCTACAGAACAGTCGACCCGTCACGACCTGGCTTTAGAGATTGATCAAGGCTTTTCTTTTTCCCTCCTTTTATTAATAATTTGTTTTGTTTTATTTTGTTTGTAGGACCAAGTTAAATATTGATAAGATGTTAGTACAAGTACAATAATAGAAATGATGTTGGGTGTGGACCATTATCAAAATAATTAAATATCGCGTCACTTTCTTCCCTGTACATTTGTTGTCTGCATAGCGTAAAACTATGAGCCTAATAAGTAATAAGGCCCCGTTTGTCTATTATTATTTTAAAATAATGATTGTTACAGTAAGATTTTCCATCACATATTTACTCAATAAAATATTTTACACACAAATTAATAAAATTATTTTAAATTTCAACCATACATTCTCCAAAAAATATTATTCATTACTTCATTTCTTCTAAACAAACACACACTAAACAATGAATGTGTGTGTGGATATATATATATATACATGTGAGTGTATAAATGAAAATAAAATATATTTGCTAATTGAATGATACATGTACTTTAAAAAAAAAAAGGTCAAGACAAACCATGATATAAAATGGAGAAAAATCACATTTGCCTCAATTTTAAATAAAAATATTATATATACTATATATTTGAATATATGCCACCGTTTAATACTTATTTTAATGAGTTTTTTTTCCATCATATCTCGTTTCCCTACAGTAGTGGCCTGAGCACATGTTACAAGCAGTCATAATTTTGTTAGATTGGACATAAAATGGATAATGCTGTTGAGCCTTGTCGGACTATTTTGTTCTCAGATGCAATTGGAAATGTACAACATTGAAATGAGGTCCCTTCAAAAGCCAAAGGAGGTGCAAAGCCTAACTGGGCGTGTGGCACTCTTGAGCCGTTTCATCTCGAAGACCACCGACAAGTGCCTCTCCTTATTTAAAATCCTAAATGGAGGAAAGAATTCCAATTGATAGAAATGTGAAGATGCCTTCTAGATGGTTCCTCCAGAGAGACAGGCTCAGGAGCGGATGTGGCTCTAATCAGTCCCGAAAGTCACAAACTTTTGATTATGAGTTATATGATTTAAAATTAGTCATGTACACTATTAATTTATAGTATTCTTACAAATAGGCTTTTGTTTAATAAATTTTGAAAATATTATTTTAAAAATAGTTGTTGTGTAATTTCCAAGGAAAAATCGTATTTGCCATATTATAAAAAAAAAATTCACAAAATACTATAATATTGTATACATTTAAAATACTGTACTTTATGTAAATTATATTTATCTCATATCTTTCTTCTTTTTAACCACACATTCTCCAATAAAATAATATTAAACGTAAATTCAAAAGTTTTCCTTTTTTTAACCATAAATTTTATCAAAAAATCATTATTCCAAAATACATTTTTTCCCCAAAATTTGATTTTACTGAAGCCCAAACAAGAGCTTATATATACTACCTTCTAAAATGAGACCCAAATCCACTTCTTGTAACAGAAAATTTAAAATATACATACATTACATTTTCATTTAGAGGGTGTTTGGTGGAAATCAAAATTAGATTTTTTGTAGATTATGATAGAAATTTTTGAAATGTATTTGAAAAGTTGTGGGATTTATGAAAGTTGTGGTTAATATTGATTGTTTGATTTTGACTTGGATTAAAATCATATTTTAATATGGACCAAACATGAGCTTAATGTCTCTTCCCAATCCGGATAATTTCAAATTTAAGATGAGTATCAAACGCAATGTCACCGGATTGGAAAATGATTCATTGATTTCTCATCCATTGAATTTCTCCACCAGATTTCGTCTCCTGATCGTGTTGGTGAGTAACCTTTTTATTCAATTTTCATAATCTGTGGGTTTTCTTGTCTCTTGCGTGATGAATGGGGCATTGAAAATATTACATACCTGTTACGTATTAAAATTGATGATGTTACTTCATATGTAGAATGATTTTAGTTGCAGAATATTACATTAGCAACCCCAAATGCTATTGTTATTTCTGTTGGGTTTTTGTAAATTATTATTTTTTTCATTTATTTGTGTAATGTAGTTTTCTGGTGATGGTCAAACGTATAGAAAGGGAAACAATTGGGGATTTTGATGATGATCAAACGTCTAGAAAGATGAATTCATTTGTGTTTTGAAAATATTACATACTCGTTATGTACTGAAATTGATTATATTACTTCATTATGTAGAATTAATCATGTTGCGGAAAATTGAATCCTTTCATAATTTGTGAATTTCTTATATTTTTCATTTCGACGGACGCATACAAAATATTACTTACCTGTTATGTATTGAATTTGATGCTATAGAAGTATGCATCTTACTTATGACACGTAGAATATTTGCATTAGCAACCCAAATATTACTTACCTGCTACTTTTGTTATAGGTCAAACGAATTTGAAAAGGCAACAATTTGGAAATTTGATGTTGGTCAAACGTATAGAAATGGCTATCATATTTAAGTCATGTTTGTTTTGGATTAAAATCAGATTTTAATCTAAATCAAAATCTAACAATCAATATAACTACATCTTTCAAGGGTCCACAACTTTTCAACCACACATTTAAATTTTTTTTTATCACAATCTACTAAAAATCTAATTTTAATCCCCACCAAACACCCTCTAAATAGCTGGGCTGAAGTAGCGAAAGTTATCAGATTGTGGACTATTCAATTCTCTTTACGAAAAAACAAAGCAGCAAGAACCACAATTGAACTCTTGAAATAGATCACCAATATCTGAAGTCTGAACAAATTAGATCAGCAATGATCAAATATTGTGTTGCATTTAATGTTTGGTACATTACAAAACCATGAAANAGTTTATGGCCTATTGCAATGCAGAGCCGTCATTTCTGCACAAAATTGTTTGACTTGTGTTAAGAGTATAGTCAAGAAATCTAGCGAGTGTGCAAACAACACTGATTCTGCGTATATGCTAAAAAATTGTTTTTTACGTTATTCAATCAAAAACTTCATTGGACAGAGCGAAAACTTGTATACTGGAGCCACTGTTAGAAATTTATCAGAAGATCTAAGAGTGGTTCCTCAAGGAAATAATTTCATTAGGAAACTTGCATCTACTGCTCCAAGTCAACGCCTGATGTTTAACGAGGGGATACTGGATGTTGGCCAGGAAGGGAAGAGGTATGGCTTTGTTCAATGTAGAAGAGATCTCAATGTTTCGGCTTGTGACAAATGTTTGAACAATTTGCTCGATAAATATATTCTGTAATTTGGTGGCAATCGGGCTTGGGAGTTTTCTAGCTTCGGTTGTAGTATTTGGTATGAGGATGTGAATGCCGCCTTTTCAGATAGAAACCTTACCAATGAAACATCCTCGACTGGTAAGTTGGCTCTTGTGTCGGTCATTGTTATGGATTAAGCTTTAATCTTTCATATCCATAGAAACAAGTAAAGCATATGCAGGTGTAAATATATACTATGATTAGGCTATACGTAGTTCAATTTATATGTCCATATGCAAATTCTAGTATCCGTATGCATTTCAGGCCATAAATTCTTAACTTTTCCATTATACGTTTGTCAAATTACCAGATTCTAATAAACTCATTGAATTATCTTTTGCAAGAAATACAGGAGAAACCAAACCATCTCTTTCTGTTGGAACTGCCGATCCAAATTCAGCTATGCGTTATTGATACTTTTGATTCTACTAGCCTTCTAATGTGAAATTATCTATAAGAACTTTTAAAAATAACCATCGACACTTTTATAGGAAGCCACAATGAAAAACAACTATCTTCTAATCGAGTTTAATTGAATAAAACTTCTTATCAATCTCGTCATATTTGTTGTGTATATTGCAACACTATGTTTAATCTCCATGTACAAAGTAGTGAAGCATCGATTCTACCTTACCCCAACTGGTTAGCATCAAAGAAATTGTTTGTGGCAGTTTCAACTATGTTGACATTGGAGATTCGGTTCTATGGTACACCAGCTTCTCATGGTTTAGCAAATGGCAAATGCAGAATATGTCATTCATCTATATCAACAAGAGTGAGGCGAATGAATCCTGTATTTTTTGGGTACAGTTGTTATAAAATGAACCATGTGACTTTGGCCAAGTCCACCGATGTTTTTCTTCTTTTATCGTCCACTTGATGTCTTGTATCGGTAAAAATTTTGGCCGTTCCATTCAGTTATTGCTAATATTCAGTGCTATGGTAAACCAGTTTCTTCTTCCATTTACTGCATACTAAAGATGACTTTTAAGAATAGCAGTTAAAACAAAAGTGAGTACAAAAAGGAATGAAGTCAGATGAGTACTTTTGTTACAGCTGGAAAGATACAAGTTATGTTGGAAAAATCTGTAACTTTTTAAAATTTTCTGTCACTTTTTTAGTATATGTCACTTTTTTGAATTTTTGTCACTTTTTTTTAATGTTTGTTACTTTTTTATCGATCACATACTTGATTGCTGGTGCTGTACAAAATGGATGGTGCTATTTTGGTAAGTCACTTTTTTTGAGTTTGTATCACTTTTTTTTAATTTTGACACTTTTTTTTTTTAGTTTGTGTCATTTTTTTTAAAAATGTAAAAAAAAAATGATATTGTATCACTTTTTTATTTTATACAGTATTTTTTATTTTCTAAAAATTTTTCATATGATTTTTCAAAACATCCCTAATTTTAAGAACAATTTTTTAAGTACCCCCATTGAATATTAGTTAGGTGGTACAATTTTCACCAATTGCCATGTCTAAAATAGGTTGGAAATCCACAGCCCGGTCCATTACGTCAACGGCTACAGTCCAAAACTGTACTCAGTAATCAAGGCCCCGCACACGGTTGTTGAACACCTACCGCCAGCCCATGAACATATGCACTCTTGATAGATACACACTGATTTATTGCATGTTTGGAGGAATTAAAATTCAAGTAAAATTGAAAATATAGTCGTTATTGAGTTATACTTGTTTAATAAAAGTCAACAATAACAACTAATTTTTCAATTTTAATTCGATTTTAATCTCAGCCAAACCGACTCTAAGTGGGTGTTTGACACCCATTCTTTTGAAGAATGAGTTTTTGAATAGTTAGGAAATAAAATTCAAAAAGGGCGTTTGACACCCATTTTTTTAAGAATAGAATTTTTGGAATAATGATTGATGAGAGAATATGTGGTGAAAAAGTTATGAAAAGTTTTAGATTTGTGTGTAATATTATTTTATTTGGAGGATGTGTGGTTAGAAATGAGTACCGTAGAAATGAGAATGAAAATGAGATAAAAAATGGGTGTCAAACGGGGCTAAAAATTATCTACCCACTTTCTCAAACTCTCTGGCAAGTCAATTAACATCTGCCAAAATACAGTATCAAAATCAAAATCCAAATCCGGCACAGCAAAGAGAATAGGTTCCTTTTGCTGTTATTTTTATAATATCTTTTTTTTCCACTCATAGTTATATTATATGATTAACTTCATTTCTCAGCATCATCGCACTGGTTTTGGTTTCTTCTATTAATTGCACTCAATTTGCTGTTTTCAGTAGGTGAGAATATGTTTTTGATCCTGCTGATCATCGATTCCTTTTCGCTTCTGATATATTTCCGGGATCAAGTCAAATAATTTGTAAATTTTTACACAAATTTTATCTGGAATTTACTGATAGATGTAATTGAAAAATATTTAGTTATTTGTTGATTGAAATATTGAATAATTTATGAAGTATTTATGGACAAAATTTATTCATTATCTAGGCTTTGATTGTTAGTACTAGCTTTTATGGTGGTACTGTGTACAGATCAGGAGCTGTACCCTGGTCATATTTGAGTGAGCTGCTGTGAGAATTAAATTTTTGTTTCCAGATTTTGAAAAATGGCATCAGGGGAATGGCATTGTGAGAAACGAGATCTTCTAAAGAACGACTCTTTTACGAAAGAGAGTAGTGATACGCCAGAAACTGGGTGTCTCTCCATCATTGTTCTCGGTGCTTCTGGTGATCTTGCCAAGAAAAAGACTTTTCCTGCGCTTTTTAACCTTTATCGTCAGGTTTGATTTGAAATTTTACTTTGCTTTTATTTTTTTCATGACTATTGGAAATACTTTTGTGAGCATGTCATTTGATCTACTGAATTGACAAGTATCCGAGTTCAAGAGCAACTAAGGAAGTAGATTAGTCTATTTTATAAGTAGAATAAATGAATAAAATGAACCCTGTGGTTGGTTCGAGTATTAAATTGTACACTTCTTGTGAATGATGATAAGAGTCTTAGTGGAAGCTTAATACAAGAATGAAGAATCTTTTAAATGTGAAGTTTTTTTTTTTTTTTCATTTTCTAATCTTGGATTTGTTTTGGGTACCTTGTAGAGATTTTTGCAATCAAGCAAAGTTCACATTTTTGGCTATGCGAGGACCAAAATTTCAGATGATGAATTAAGAAATCGTATACGAGGGTGAGATTTTTTTTTTTTGGTATTTCTCCTGAATAAAATCATAGAAACACATCTGGTTTTCTATCTTTTTGTCCTGTACACTTCACAGGACTAAAGATATTTCCTCTATAATGTGTACGTTCGTGGTTGAAATATGCTATTTCTTTCTGTGGGTAATGCACATGGTGACTTCCTGGTATCCATTAACCTTTTAATTAATGATTCTAGGTACCTTTCTTCAGGAAACGAAGGCTCGGAAGATGTATTGAAGTTTCTTCAATTGGTTAGTACATGGCCTGAACTTATAATTCCTTGTTTTTCAACTTCTGACGGATGAGGCAAATATGCTGATTTGTTTTGTCTCATGTAGATTAAATATGTATGTGGCTCTTATGATGCTGAGGAGGGATTTCTGGCATTGGACAAGGCAATATCTGAGCATGAAACATCAAAAAACAGCTCAGAAGGATCGTCTAGAAGGCTCTTCTACCTCGCACTTCCTCCGTCAGTATATCCACAAGTCTGCAAAATGATCAAGAATTATTGCACAAATAAATGTATGTATTCTGATCAGAATCAGTTTTAATATGGCTGATTCTATCACATGCGAGTGTTTTAATACTCTTCTAAAGGTCTATGTTTATTATCATGTTCAATTTGGATTCTGGATGATGATAACCCTATAAGAACCTATATAACATACCTATTGTTCATCATGGCAGATTACCCACTAGTTATGTATATTTATAGTGTAAATTGATCTACTAAGCACATATGACATGGTACATTAATTTATTGGTGGATAGGTTTATGGTGGGTCTCAATATTTGAATTAAATTTGTTATCCACCAACGATTTATGAGCTCTCACTTTCCAGCTGATCTTGGTGGATGGACCCGTATTGTTGTTGAGAAGCCCTTTGGCAAGGATTTGGCTTCAGCTGAGGAACTAAGCTCCCAGATTGGAGAATTATTTGATGAACCACAGATTTATCGCATTGATCACTATTTGGGCAAGGAATTGGTGCAGAACTTGGTAATACACAATGCAATAGTTTTCTGATTTTTTGGTCCAGTTATCTGAAAAGTATTGTTTATTCAATCTCTTGGAAAATATTGCAGCTGGTAATTCGTTTTGCGAATCGTTTCTTTTTGCCACTCTGGAATCGCGACAATATTGATAACGTACAGGTTGGTTTTTTCCACCATCTCTGTCTCTCTCTATGTGTTTTTGTTGTGTGTGTGTGTGTGTGTGTGTGTGTCTCTCTCTCTCTCTCTCTCGTGTATATGTACTAGTAGTGGTGTCCAATGGGCTTACTAATGTTCCTAAGATACCAATATGTTTTATGTAATATTTAATCACACAAACGAAAATATATAAATTTACAGTTATTCAAGCCCAATGATCAGGATGGAACATATTTTCGTTTCTATGGAAGTAGCACTTTAATGACAAAGTATCAAATGAGAAGAAGTCCATCTTTATCACCCGAACATATATGCAGATTTTTACACAAATGAGAGAATTATTTGCACGGGAAAATAGACGGAGTAGAAAGAGAGATAATTCTGTAAGATTACATTCTGAAATGTCATATATATAACCTTGGGATCTGACCTCTTGTCCAAGGGCAATTTCCTTCCTGAGATATTGTGAAGGCATAAAATTGAAAGGGAGCAACTTATAGAAGGACATAACTCTTGAGTCAAAACTCTTTATACATTTAAAAGATGCAACATTTTATCCATATGATAGTTGGATTTTCAAATTTAAATTTATTCCTTCTTTATTCCCCTTTTCTTCTTCTCCCTCTCCATCTCCTTTCTAATAAGAATGAAGACAAGAAGGAAGACAATTTCTTCGTTCAAATCAGCTTTCCTTGTTAAAACTTTCCTCAAGTTCTGATGATTACCCAATTCCCTTTTCTTTCACTGCAGATTGTCTTCAGAGAAGATTTTGGAACTGAAGGTCGTGGTGGATATTTTGATCAATATGGGTATGTTCTGCGGGTGCACTTTGGAGTTTTTCTGCTTCTGTCATGAAAGCAGTCCTTATGTTCTCTAGCTTTGCCAAGAGATGTGATTCTTAACTAGAGTATTGCTGGAGAAGTAGCGCCGTCTTTAACTTCACTTAGCTAGTTTTGATTTGCTTGTAAAATAAATAAATTTTGTCAATCTTCTCTTTCCTTTGCAGAATTATCAGGGACATTATTCAAAATCACCTCTTGCAGGTGAGCCTTGCGTTAAGTTTGAATAGTT